AAATGAACTACTTAATTATACTTAATTATACGCTATATTAACTCTGGAGAGATGGTCTGCTCCATGCATAATTAATTAGCACATTGAAATTAAATTATCAACTTCGCACTTTATTGATTCCAATAATTTAGGAAATAATTTGTTTATCTTGTCTCTATAGGGAGATTGGGGTTTTTAGATTTCTCGCACCGTACCATTTAATTTGTACTAAGGCATGCACATATTTTACAATTTGGTAGTATCTTCCTCGACCTTTTGCGGATCTTGTTTCCAATCTTACTTGTTATATTTCAGGAGCACATGAATTTTCAACGATCAATTCTTGTGTTAAGCAATTTTTGTTAAGCCAAAGCCCATCAGATGCCGTAATATATAGGAAACAAGTATGGATACTTTTAATGTCATTTCCAAAGTGGCATTATTGGATTATCGAAGTAATTTTTGATGAATTGCTCTTTCCAGAAATTAGTGAAGTAAGTATAAGACACAGACGACATCTATGGTGTTAACCAAGCTCGTATTTATAGACCATTCATGTTTGTAGTTAGAAGAGCCAATACATTATCTAGCGTGGTTAGTGTGTCCAAGAGATGATATTGCTATTATCACTCTTACTAATACTATAGTAGACATTATTATATCCGTAAGAGGTAATAAATTTACAGTTTAATACACAAACGTATACATAATTACCATTTTTAAGTATTGATCTAATTTGAACTATCTTTTTTAGAGTGTTTGTCAGTATCACAACATAGAAACGAAAGAATTCTTTCGTGTCTTGAACGATATAAACCTATTTTTGCCAATCAAATGATTTTAGTAGATGTTGTGTTAGGATTGTGGCCAGTTACCAACTCCTTAGATTTAATGAAGAAGCTTGTAAGATTCTCTAGATTTGAAACTCTTTTATGATTGGGCATCACTAATTTGTGATTATAATATAGGTAAATTTTTGCATAGAGAATCATAATGAACAACTAAACGTGTTATCCAGGTTGGATTATATTTATCATTGCTATTGACTCATTTGAATTTAAATATTTTAAATATTGACCTTTAACTGATATTCGCTCGTTAATATTATTTAATAGACAGAATGATAGTGTCAATTTAACGACATTAACACTTATTCTAGATTATTTCTACGAAACGCAAGTTACAGAAAACAATCCTGAAATGAAAGATTTCTTAAATAACTTGCAAGAGTTATATAAAAGTTCATTATCATCGGTAACCTTTTGTATATAATAATATAGTCATAATTTTTAATTTTGTGAACGTTTCGAAATATATAGTGAGGCTTAAGTTTTCGTAAAGTTGTATATTCAGGTATAACGTTCAAAATACATTGTATATACAAGTCACAAAATTACCTATAAAGGAATATCGGTTGACTACGTAATAGCTTTTGATTAAGGCGTATTATCATGTGATAAATGTGACGAATAATTGTTAAAAATAATATCGAGATCAAATGTCAATTAATTTTTTAGATTATCATTGCCCGCAGTGTAACATCCTATTTTGTACCCCAGATAAATTATCAACTTAAACAGATAAATTTAAGCCCAAACGTTCAGGCGAAATTTGGCAAGTTGACATCTGGGTTGCCCCGATTGTTAATCATTGGAAAAAAATATTAAATATAAAACGATTCTCCTTATAAATAATTATAAAATAATTATAAATAATTATAAATAATTATAAATAATTTAAAAATTGGTTAATAATTTTCGTATAAACGTTGATCTACACTGATTTTTTTTGTCATGTTTGGTAGGTGTATCGAAT